AGGGTTTCTGAGCAGGGCCAGTTAGCGGGGGAAGGGTAGACCTGCAGGTGGATTCATTTCACTAGTGGAAGCCTGAGTGGCGGTCCTCACTGTAACCCACAGGCCCTGTAAGCAGTGGAGACACTGTCCAGAATCTGGCAACAGAAGATGTGTCCATCTCAGGGGTCGTGGCTTTTGTAGTTGCTTTATTATCTTTTTCTGTGTCTTTTGGAGCTAAGTTCAGCCAGAGATTTTTGCCTTTTTTTCTTGCCTCTGAATCTCTAGCATCTAGCTCTCTGCATGGCACATAATAGGTGCCCCTAAATGTTTGTTGAAGACTGCATTTAGGGCAGTTATCCAGAAGCCGTTTAAAATTTTTTACTTTTAATTTATTATTTCTAAAAATAAAATAATACATACATGTTTAAAAACAAAAAATGAAAATTAAACTTTCCTTTCTTATCAGCAGCCTCCTGAAAGTCACCACTGTTAATGTCTTATAAATCAGAGAAAAATCAGTGCACAAATATTTTCAAACTCATGTGGAATCCCTGCACTGACCTACACCTAGCTTCTTTCACTTATTAACAGAGCTTGTGAATCCTGGCATATCTCTGTCTCCAGGTCTCTGCCACTCCTGAACAGCTGCTTGGTACCTTGTGGTTATAGATGTTGCAAGTCATTATCCACCAATCCCTGTTAATGAACACTTACGTTGTTTCCACTTTGTTTCAAACAATTCTACGATGAATCTTGCTATTATTTGTATGAATTTGTATGTTCTTTCAGGGAAATCCCTTGCAGAAGTCTTGCTGGGGCCGCTGGTGCATCTAAACATCGGAGAGATTGCTAAATTGGCAATTCAGAAAGGGGCACCTCCAGCCTCTCTGCATGAGAAGGGGGCCTGTGTTCCCCAGCTCACTAGCCGGAGCATTCAAATTTATGTGGTTTTTGGAAATTAAGACTTGTAAAATGATACCATTCTGTTTTGCTTTGCATTTTTAAAGTGCACAGAATCTTGTTGGGTATCTTTTCGTATATTCGTTGACCAGTCTTCTGTGAACTGCTTATTCATATCCTTAAGCCCATTTCTCTCCTGGGATGGTAATGTTTTCTTTAGTTTTTACTATTTTATATGTGTTCTTTTAAAATCAAGGTTATTAGACCTTTGTCGTTGATACTTATGTGAACTATTTTTTCGGGTCCGTTATTTGTATTTTAACTTTGTTTATTGTATTTTCATCACACAAGAGTTTTACATTTTCACAGAATGAAATCCCTTAGTCTTTAGTTTGATGGCTTCTAGGTTTATAGGAAATCTTGTTAGTAAAGTCTTTCCTACTGCAGGATTATAAAGAAATCAAGCCAGTGCCTAACACAAAATAGCCCTATGTTAAGTTTTTGTGAAATAAATTAGAATGTAAAATTTCCTTGTTTTTAATTCTTAAATATTGGGCCTTCTTGGAATTTATTTTGATATAAAAAGTGAGATAGGGAATCCAGCTTCCTATTTTTCAAATGGCTAGTCAGTAGTCTCAGCACCACTTTTTTTTTTTGAGACCTTTATTGTGGTATGGATCCTGTACAGTAAACTATATATATTTCAGATGACAATTTAATGAATTTTGATAGATGTATATACATCCATGAAACCACCATCACAATCAAGATAGCTAACATTTCCATCACTCCCCAAAATGTGGGAATTTTGAATTCCCAGTTTATCTCTTTCCACCCCCTTTCCCCGCTGGTAACCATAAAGTTCTTTATGTCTGTGAGTCTGTTTCTGTTTTGTAGATAAGTTCATTTGTGTCCTTTTTTTAAGATTCCACATATAAGCAATATCATGGCATTTTTCTTTCTTTTTCTGGCTTACTTTACTTAGAATGACGGATCTCCAGGTCCATCCATGTTGCTGCTAACTGCATTTTATTCCTTTTTATGGCTGAGTAGTATTCTATTGTATATATATACCACATCGTCTTTATCCAGTCATCTGTTGATGGACATTTAGGTTGTTTCCATGTCTTGGCTATTGTACATAGTCAGCACCACTTTTTCATGAACCCATTTTTCTCACTGATTTAATAGATTGCATTTTAAAGTGGGTATCCTCTTGTTAATGTTGACTGTCTTCTGAGTGTTTGAAATATCTTTCGTACATAGCCTCAACTTTCTAATTAATTGGGAAGCTTGGCTGGCCCCCTTGGGTAAGCACTAATGAGCTAAAATCATCCTCATTGTATGGCACTAAGTAGAGATGTGCTGGGCCAGGCTGATCGAGGCCTCTAATCGCTCAGGATTCCCAGTGAGGTGAGCTCCTATTAAGCTAATGTTACTGGGGTTTTCCAGAGCTCAGATCAGGCTGCTCTGTGGAGTTGGGGCAGACAGGAAGGGAGAAGACCCAGGCTCTGTGTGCCCCCAGGAGTCCCTTCTGCAGTGCCTGCCCAGGGCTCTGGAGAGCTCTGCGATTTCTGAAATATGGATGTGTGTGCTTTCCCTGCTGCTTTGTAGTTATGAGGGGCTGGGGGCCATGGCCCCTTCTCCAACTCTGGGAGCCCCTACCCCAGAAGACTCATGGAGCTTCATGCCAAGGAATGGGATGAACTAAACAAGATTTCTAATGGCCTGTGCTGGCCTGGTGGCTCCTGCAGCTTCTAGGTTGGGATAGGAGGACCTGGGGTCTGGATGCTGGCCCAGGGGCTGGGAATAGGGGGGTCATGTTTAGGGGCACCAGGAGAAGAGTTTTGAGAAACTCAGTCCAGTTGACTAGGCAGAGGTGAGGCATGAAGCAGCTGTATGGGAAAGTGACAGAGGTCCTGGCCAGGGACAAGGGTTCCCGTTTCAGAACTAGGGTCTGCCAAGTACTTAGCCATATAAATCACAGAGCTTCTCTGATGCTCACTTCAGCAAAGTTAAAAATACTTACCTTGAGGGGTTGCAGAAGGATTTCGCAGTTCATAGCTCAGCCTCCTCATCTCACAGTGTGGGATTTGTGGGAAGGAGGGGGATGTTGTGAGCAGAAGGATGGAAGGAGCTCCAGCACGCATGCCAGCGGGTGGGGGAGACAGCAAGAGAGACGGACTTGGGATGCACAAAAGCCTTCAGAAATGTGCCCACTCAAATGCCCCAGGGCCAGGCAGAGGGTGTAATTGGGCCAGCGGGGGCTGAGCTCCCTAGAGATGCCGAGCTGTGACTGTGGGGGCCCCCTCCTGTTCACTCTCCCTGGCCTTCCTCTCTGCAGGCGCTCCTGGTCCCTGAACTGCCGGTACTCTGACACTCTGGCGCGGTGGTTGGACGGATGCGATCTGTAGCTGCCGGGCAGCCCTCCCCGCACTCACCACTGGCATCTTCCAGATGAAGATGCTTTCCTGTTTGTTGCCTTCCCTCAATCCCATTGATTATCTCACAGCTTGACAACTCCACATGGAAAAGGGCACGAGTTTGCTTCATCCAGGGATGCAGGATGCAGAATAAACTGCTAGTTATTCACCCTGGGCCAAAGAGCTCCACTTGTCTTAGTACACTCTGATTGTTACTATGATGATCATGATTTCCCATCATCATGCTTTATTAGTGTTTAATCTTAGGTGGAGGATTTGAAGGAAGGGAAACATCTGGAAAACAAGATGTGGGTCCATGAATGTCAATATTAAATAGGGAAAGGAAGAAAAGATACAGTGGAAGGAAAGAGAAGAGAAGGGGAGAGGCTGGCACCGGTAGGGCTCCACCCCAGCTTGTGTCCATGCTGGGACACACAGGTGGCAGTGAGGAGACCATGAAATCCTCTCTGCACTTCTGTGGACAGAATCTGGTGACAGTTGCTCTTTCTTATAAAAGTTAAGTTTTGAAAAATTGTCAGTACATACTCATGCTAGGGGAATTGTGCAAAATACAGAACGGTAAACCAGAAGAGTCCTCACATGATTTTAGAAGCCAAAGACCACCCGTCAGTCACTGTCATGCTTTCATTGCACTCCCCTTTGGCCTTTTTTCTGATACGGATTTTTCTTCTTTTCTAACAAGGCTGTTATAACGCTGTATAGGGAGTTTTACACCTTGCTTTTTAGAGAGAAGAAAACATGGTAATCAACCTTTCCCCATATGTATTTCCATTTTAAGCAGAAAGGGGTTTATTTCCAAGGCTGAGTGGCCTGCAGAATCCTTGCACAGGATGGTGCAGCAGGTGGCAGCCTGAGCTTCCTGAGTCCTGGCAGCAGAAGCAGCAGCAGCAGATCTGCTGCTCGGAAGCCAGGTCACCTGTGGGAACCCAGGCTCTGATGGGGGAACATAGTCCTTAACCTTCCAGCCCTCGGACAGGAGGGAAAGAACAGAAGTGGCATGGGGAGAGGCTGTGCACAGCCTCTGCTTCACCAATGTGCTAGAGTCTTCAGAATGACATCTCAATGCCAGCTAGCACGCCATTGGGTGAATACACCAGATTTTATTTAACGTTACCCTCTACTGTCAGGTTTTTAGATATTTCCATTTTTTTTTCCAACTGATCCAAAGAAAGCTGTAGTGCCTATGGCTGCCCTTTTTTCATTTTTTGCACTTTTAAAGTTAAACAACATGTATTTAATAAGGAAAACCTGGAGAGTACAGATAGTCATAAAGAAGGAAGTTACACATGCTCCTCATCCCCACTGGAAACAGAGGTTTTCATGATTGTTACACAGGGAGAACCCTGATGAAGGGATGGTAGTGTCAGTCTCTCCGGACGGAGCCCTCCCACTTCAGTGTGGGCGTGTGCACATTTTTTCCTTGTAAACATGAACTACTACTGTGTACACAGTTTTGTACCTTGCTTTTTTTCACTTACTATTTTGTGGTCTAATATTTCCATACCTACAACTGCACAGTATCTGTATAGTGGACAAACTATAATCCATTTAGTGGACAAACAATAACCACCCCCCACCTTGTTACTCTGCTGCATCTAGACAAAAAGTGAGCAATAGGAGTGAATCATGGCCATCTAAAAGGCAGGCAGCACCGAAAGCAAGTCAGCCCCTCCTTTTGTTTGCATCTTGGTCACTTACAGAAAGACGAAGAAAGAGCTGCATATAAGAATCAGGGGCAGAACTTTTACTCACGTTCGGTACTGATCAGCTTAATCGGTTGGTTTTGTGTGGCTTTCCCCCATCTCTAGAGTAAAGGGTATTTGGTAGTTCCCGACCACAGAGCACAAATCATACAGTACAATTCCTGCTGGCGGCTGCATTTGCCGTTGAGGTCAATGAGAAGCTTTTGAGACCCTGAGGGCAGTTTTCCTATTGAGTTGGGAACTTGCCTTGTTTCCCAGGGTGGCCCAAGTGCGATGATGCACCTGATCTCAAACAAACCTTAACTCGGACGTTAACAACAACCTGCAATTGATTAAAACACTATCTCCTCAAGTGCCAAATCCTGTGTGCGTGCGGCCGCCTCCTTCCAGCCCATTACTTCTGTCCTGGCTCATCATCGTCCTCTAATGGCCACTTGTGTCAACATGGGCATGAGGCTTGAAAACAAAGCAAATGTTAGTGTATTGATTGGAACGGCTCTCTAGCGTTTCCCAACATTAGCTCCTGGTGCGATGCTCTCAAAGCCACTGATAATGGGTGTTACGGTGAGCACGCATCCTGGGGCCAGCTCTCCCTATCTGGTTTACAGAATGATCAAAGCTAGATTTAAAAATCTCACAACTCCCATTACTATTACTTTTATCGCCAGCAGCTCTCATATTAACTCTTAATTTTACAAATAGTACACAAAGGCCTTTTTATACAGTGTTTTCAGACCTTGCAAAATCTTACAAGGTAGATGTGATTCATAACCATATCACAGGTGGAGAAGTGGAGGCTTGGAGGGGCTAAATAACCTGGCTTTACTCCAGCCTGGTAAGTGATGGAGATGGAATGAGTATGTCCCCAAAACCTGTAACTCCCCAACACAGCCCCTTCAAACTCTGCTACCGTATTGGTGTTAATTTTCCATTCCATTCATTAGCTGGAAAATCAGATCTCCAGCTTTTTAATGAAAAGCTTTGCATTTAAGAATTTTTGGGCAACTGGCATAGAACAACGGGTCATTGTTGTAGTGCCTGATTAAAAGGCTGGAAATTGAGGCCTTGGGAGATTAAGTAACTTTCTCAACTACACAAAATAAATCAATAGAGAGGGCAGTGAAGCGACTTACAGTGTTTCCACACTTCTGTCATGATGAAAATCACCGGGGGTGGCTGTTAAAATGCTGATTCCTGGGCCATGCCCACATCTACCAAGTCTCTGTTTCCAAGTATAGGGCCCTGGAATCTATTAAAAAGTGTCTCCAGATAAATCTGATCTTTGGGAAACTTGGGAGAAACTGGTTAGTGGAAAGAGCATGAGTTTAGAAGAGTCAGAAGACAGGGTTTGTTTCTGGCTCTGCCACAGTTTGAGTCACTAAACTCCCTGAACCTCGTTTTTCCTACCTACAGACTGAAGTGAGTGACTGGCTGGGCCAGCATACAGTGGTGGCGTTGATGGGACAGCAGTGAGGTGATGGGGTCTTCTGATTCCTCGGCCCTTTACCTGCTTCCCAGCGTCATGTTGACAGTCTGAGTAAAGACGCTGCCCGAGGTCTGCCACCCGGAGGGTCTGGAGCATTGTGCGTGTGTGTCCCTTGCTCTCTAATGCCGTGTGTGTCCTGCAGCGCAGTTTGGCCAAGTCAGTTACTGGAGTAAGAAGATAGTGTCTTGCTCACAGGGCACTGCTTTCTAGAACTTCCCCCTTGGCTAGTTCTTTTTTTTAAATTGAAGGATAGTTGATTTACATGTTGTGTTAGTTTCTGGTGTATAGAGTAATGATTCAGTTATATGTATTCTTTTTCAGATTCTTTTCCATTATTGGTTATTATATAATATTGGATATAGATCCTGGTGCTATACAGTAGGACCTTGTTGTTTATCTAGTTTATTTATAGTAGTTTGTATATGCTAATCCCAAACTGCTAATTAATTTATCCCTCTCCACTGTCCCCTTTGGTTACCATGTTTCTTTTCTGTGTCTGTGAGTGTTTGTTTTGTAAATAAGTTCAGTTGTATTATTGTTTTAGATTCCAAATGTAAGTGATATCATGATATTTGACTCACTTCACTTAGTATGGTAATGTCTAGGTCCATCCATGTTGCTGCAAATGGCATTATTTCATTCTTATTTATGGCTGAATAGTATTCCATTGTATAAATATACCACAGCTTCTTTATCCAATCATCTGTCAGTGGACATTTAGGTTGCTGCCATGTCTTAGCTATTGTGAATAGTGCTGCTATGAACATTGGGAAGCATGTATCTTTTTGAATTAGAATTCCCTTTGGATATATGCCCAGGAGTGGGATTGCTGGGTCATATGGTAAATTTATTTTTAGTTTTTTAAGGACCTTCCATACTGTTTTCCATAATGCCTACACCAAATTACATACCCAAGTGGTGTTTGGTTTTTATTTTGAATCTCAAATCCACCGTGCATCTGGGGTGAGAGGTGAGCTGGGCAGCTCCTTCTCCTCGTTGCTGCTTCTTCCTTCCTCCCTAGACTCATCTAGCTCTGGGGAAGTGAGTGCTGCTCCTCCCTTTTCCTGCCCTTCATTCACTGAAGGTTTTGGCTCTTGACTCACTGTTTTCCCGCCGCTGCTGGGGTCGTCATTCTCAATGGCCTCAGTATTTATGGAGACAAGCTACCAGTATCCTGACCTCTCAGTTTCTACAGTTCATTGCCTGCAAAGATCTTGTCCTTGACTCAATTCAGCCACCACTCCCATGACCATACCTCAGCCTAGTCATTACTAATAACTCCACCACCTCCAAATTTCAATTCTGAACACCTCACTCTTTGAACTCCTCCTCATATCTTGCCATAGCAACTCCAACAATTCTTTGACTCCATGGGATCCCTAAGAATTGACCCTATCATCTTTGCTCTGTCCCTCACCTTCCTCGTGTCTTCTCTTGCCCTGTGAATTTCCAGAGCTGCCATCATGATGTCATGCACACATCCTCACCTCCCTTGCCCATCCTTCCTACGACCTGCTTACCTGGCTACTTAGCCCCAGGTAAACCCAGCTGTCTACCCACTCTGCACTCGCACCCCAGTAGCTCTATGTATTTGGAGAAGAAGGGAAAAAACCCAGCACCATGTTGACTGGTGTCACTTTAGGATTCTTGACAACCATTTTCAAGAGGGCCTTTACATTTCCCATCTATTTCACACTTCTCCCTGCTCTTTATATCTCTAACACCTCCTCCTCCATCCACCCTCTTAGCTGATGATGTTGCTTCCTATTTCACCAAGAAAATGAAAGCCATCAGATAAGACCATCTGCAGGCTCTCATTGCCACATCTGCCCTCCCTTTCACTCCTCCCTCCCCTCTGTGGTTATGGATGGACTAGTGATGCTCTTGGCTAGGGTCAGCCCCACCTTGTGGGTCCTGGATTCCATCCCCTCTTGCTTACTGTCAGACTTTACAAGAGGCAAATGA